CCACTGCACTCCGGTCTGGGCGACAGAGTGAGACTCTAACTCAAAAAAAAAAAAAAAAAATATTCAAACTCTTCCTCAAAAAGTGCTGAGGAGGTCAGGTGTTCACCCAAGTAAATCAGTGCCCAGAGATAGGTTGAGGACCCTGAACTGACCCCCAAGCTTAGCTTCCAAGAGGAAGCTAGTCGAAGCTGATAGCAACCTAAATCCTGCATAGCTGCCTCTCCCTCGATCCCTGTGATGACACAGCTGGGAAAGGCAAAGCCATAGCTGTTGGCCATCCCAAACCACCCAGAAGCAGCCCAGCCACAGCCACCCTCTGCCCTGACACTGACAGAAGCACAGGTGGGCTACTCACCCATCTTGTCTATGGAAGAGCACCCACCTCCCAACAGCCAGCTCAGGGCAGGAATGAGGGACAATCCGGTGGCATTCTGAGGCATGGGAAAGTGAAAATCCTGCCCCTTGTCTCCTCCACCTTCCCTACTCCTGACATGGGCGACAAAGAAAATACCAGAGAACTAGCCAACATGCCCCTACCCCCACAGCTTCATGCAGCCCATCCATCCTTGACCAGCTCCTGACCCCTTCCCCTAGGATGCCAACATTTGGAACCCACATTTCCATGGACTTCAGAATCTTTCCCTTACCAGTGCTCCACTCCAGATTCCTCTGTCCCTCTGCCTTCTGCCTCTTGCCCAGTACCCAGAGTCAGCCCGGAGAAAACTCGGGCCCTGTCCCTGCCCGCAATACAATTCCTCTCCAGTGAGGGGTGAGTGAGGGGGTAGGAGCTGAACCCAAGAGTCAGCTCCTACCTACAAGGAAGACCACAACACGGGACATCTGCAAAGCAGGCCAGACAGAACACCTCACAAATGGAGAACTAGCTACATGATATAGTTTGGATAGTTTTCCTCTCTAAATTTGAAAGATGGTTCCAGTGTTGGAGGTAGGGCCTGTGGGAGGTGATTGGATCATGAATGGCTTGGTGCCCTCCTGGCTCTAGTTCACAGGAGAGCTGGTTGTTTAAAAGAGCTCAGCGCTTCCTTTTCTCTCTTTCTCCCCACCTTTCCTCACCATGAGACACACTCCACCTTTGCCTTCTACCATGATTGTAAGCTGCCTGAAGCCCCACCCGAAACAGATGCTAGTGCCATGTAGAACCGCAAGCCAAAATAATACTTTTCTCTTTTCTTTCTTTCTATTTTTTTTCTTTGAGTTGAAGTCTCACTCTGTTGCCCAGGCTGGAGTGCAGTGGCATGCTCATGGCACCGCAGCCTCAACCTGCTGGGCTCAGGCTATCCTTCCGCCTCAGTCTTCCAAGTAGCTGGAACTACAGGCATGCACCATCATAATTTTTCTTGATTTATTGTAGAGATGAAGTCTCACCAAGATACCCATGCTGGTCTCGATCCCTTGGCCTCAGGCAATTCTCTTGCCTCTGCTACTTTTTTCTTTTCTTTTTTTTTTTTTGAGTTGGAGTCTCACTGTCACCCAGACTGGAGTGCTCCCGGCCACCGCAGCCTCTACCTGCTGGGGCTCCAGCGATCCTTCTGCCTCAGCCTTCCAAGTAACTGGAACTACAGGTGCGCGCTACCACGCCCGGCTGATTTTTTTGATTTGTTGTAGAGATGAGGTCTCGCCTGCCCAGGTGGGTCACAAACCCACGGGCTCAGGCAATCCACTCACTTCAGCCTCCCAAAGGCGCGGGATTACAGGCTGAGCCACCAAGCCCGGCCTGCTACTTTTTTCTTTATAAATTACCCAGCTTCAGCTATTCCTTTTATAGCAACAGAAAATGAACAAATACATTGCAAAATACAACCTTAAATAATTATTTTCTTAAAAAGCATTTATTGCAAAGAATGCTGGACACAGTGCTTTGTGTGGCTGTGATCCAATACCATCTATCCAGGGAAATTACAAGAACATTGGCAACATGGGCATGTTGGCCAGCACAGCTGGAACCTGGCAGCCAACTGCCCATGCCGAGACCACTCCAGGGTAGAGGCTTTGGGGGCTGCCCCTACCCAGGCCCTGACCCCTAGAATTTCCCTCCCCCAGTCCTTGTAACGTATCTAGTCTAGCAGCTCCTGACTACCTTCTGCACACAAAGAGGGAAGGCCTCAGTGGTATTGCCTCAGGTGGTATCCAGATGTACATGCCCTATTGCTGACTAAAGGAACCTGCTATGGCTAACAAGTGAGTGTCCAGGTGATAAAACTCACCAAGACTCTGAGACACATGAAGCAAAGGCTGCAGTCCCCATGTCCCAAAGGCAGTGTCATGGTCCTCTGGCCCCAGGTCTAAAGGGCTTGGGGCTTTGACAGGAGGTGAGTCTAGAAGGAGGATCCTGCCCAAGGTATGCCTTGGACATCCCTCCTCAGAGCAGCATGCAAGGAAGAGATACTACCAGCCAAGGCCAGGGACACTAATTTCTCTCAGGGGTAGGTGACATGGGCAGGCTGCAAAGTCCTAGGGGGCTGGAAAAGGTGGGCTGCTCTGCCAGGCACAGGTCAGGAAGGTTACGGGTCCAAAGTGGGCTTGGTATCCAGAGGCCTGGCTTCACCAGACCTCACCTGTGAGCACCTGACTACAGGTCCAGACACTTTCTTACCCAGCCCCACAACTTGCTGGCCAGTCTGTTTGCCAGCTAGAAAATGTAGCTGGAAGCCACTGCTCAGACTTCCTCTCTGGGCCCAAAAGAACTCAGGGGTATGACAGATACCTGACTTCAGGAGGCCACTTTCACCAGGCTTACATGCACAGGATTCAAAAGCTATGGCATAGCTCGGAAAATCCTCCCTTGCCCAGGGGCTGCCTCTGGATTCTGTCTTCTCCCTTCCTCAGGCCCACAGATAGAGATCAACCAACACCAGAGCAGGCTTTTCAGGACCACAACAAGTTTTTCTGAATCACTTAGGGCGTATGCATGTCTCTGCCACCAGTGTACATTCCTGTGTGGACACAGGCAGCAACAGGTAAGAGGCCACCTCCTATCCGGCTACAAGTTTGCACAGCCAGGGAAGGGGAGCAGGGACAGCAGCCTGTCCCTAGAGCACTTCGGTGAGTGCACCAGGAAAGTAACTTGTACAACTGCCCTTGTCTTTAGGTGGCTTCACTGTGAGAACAGTTGGGAAAGGGGGCGCCCTTGGCCACCAGCTCCCCAAAGTATTCCAGTGTATGCACAACTGGAGAGTGGTGACCACAAATGCTCCCCTCCCCACGTTTCTGTACATCACAATGTGCTGAAGTGAGCATGTTGCTTTTATGAGTGCCCACAAAAATGGGTGACATGGATACAGGGCCACAGACACAGCCCAGGAGGCGTTTGCTGCTCTTTAGTTCCAGATGGGGAAGGGCTCTCTCTCCCTCTCACTGAAGGCAGCAGAAGTTCAGGGTCTCATACAGATCTGGCTCAGGAAGTAGCCAGAGACAGGACAGTAGAGGCCCTTCACAGGGTCCCAGGTCCATCCAAGGCAGTGGGGTCACAGTGAGAACATCACAGCAAGTACTTGACGCCTTTTTTTTTTTTTGAGTCAGAGTCTCATTCTATCATCCAGGCTGGAGTGCAGTGGCACACTCATGGCTAATGCAGCCTCGACCTGCTGGGCTCAAGTGATCCTTCTGCCTTAGCCTTCCTAGTAGCTGGAAGTACAGGCGCACACCACCACACCCAGCTAATTTTTTGATTTGTTGTAGATATGAGATCTTGCCATGTTGCTCAGGCTGGTCTTGGACTCCTGGACTCAGGCAATCCTCTTACCTCCGCCTCCCAAAGTGCTGGGATTACAGGCGCATGAGCCACTGTGCCCAGCCAGCACTTGCCATTTCACATTTAGGGTTTCACACTTCACAAAGCCAACCAATCTGGTGAGAGGAAACACCTAAGAACTGCAATAGAAGAACCTGGTGCTGGGCAACCTCTCAGCAGCCTGTGAAGATGCAATCTGGCCCAGTGATTCTTAGCAGCAGATCAGGAACCACGTAAACCTTGTCACTGTCAACAAAGAGGCAGGTGGGCTGGGGAAGGGGCTCTGGGTGCCATTAGTCACAAGTAGCTTCAAGAATGGTCCTGCATGGTGACTGTCACATGAACGGGGGCCTGGGATGACCTCGTCTGCAGAGATCAGCACCTGCCCAGGGGTCATGGTACATGAGACATAGTCACTGGTGAGCAGGGACTGTGACGAGGGCTTCCTCTGGAGGTCTCGAGATGTCTACATTCTGTACAAACAAAACAAAACACAGAACACTCATCCTGTGGCAGGAATAGATGGGATAACTGCTGTCTGTTTCCTCATTGCTGTGGCCCATCTAGGTTCATATTCTTACCTCAGAAGCCTTGGCCTCAGGACTCTAGACCCTAAACTTCCCTAAGACACAGGTCAAGAGCTTTGTGCTATACAGAGTGGACAGAAAATGGAATAAAGTGGGGGAGGAGGATGCTACCCTATTCTCTCCTCCATTGAAAACAGGCCAGGCAGTACCCACAGCAAGGATGCCCCACATCCTGTCTCAGGGCTGGGTCAGCTGGGGAGAGATCCCAGGCTTGGGGCTTTCATCCTCATAAGTGAGGCAGAGAAGGGGTTCAGCCTCTGAGAGTGCCTCCTTCCTGGCTCAAAGTGTTGGCAGACAGGTGTCAGATGTAGTTCCAAAAGCTTATTGACATCTCGTAGTCTGCAGCCTGATTGTCCCCTCAGGACTGGGGCAGAGGGACTCCTGTAGTTCCTGAAGTCCTCTGCCGCAGATGGTTCCCACCAAGCCACAGAGCCTAGATCCACCCTTGGCCTGCTGAGCTCAAGATGTCTCAGGCCTTAGGAATAGAAGACTTCTCTCAGCTCTATGAGGCTGTCCTATGTGACCTCTGATTCTGGTGGCCCATCCTCGCAACTGTAGACCCTCAGAACCATCACCTGCAGGAGCAATCACCAATGACCTGGGCTACAGCCCTGTGCAATATGACATGCCCGGATCTTCAGGGAGGGAGACATAGCCTCCATGGCCCACATTTTGGGCTCATAGGACTGGCCACTGGAATTGCAGGGGCAAGTACAAGTCTCACTGTGGGGCAGGTTTCCTGTGAGGGCCCCTTGCCCACCACAATCCACCCCCAAGGATGGGCCAGGAGACCCCGGGATCCTGTTTACCTGAAAGAGAACCATCTAGGAACCAATGACTAGTAGAAGTTTGCCTCTCAGTAGCACCCATTCAAAAGTGAGCAGAGTGACTGTCAGCATATCAAGGTCATGGGCCGGTGGGGTCACCCCCAAAGGCTGCCAACCCAGGGGCCTCTCTCACCATCACCCTGTCGGTGCTGGGGCCCAATATCATCTTGGTTTTCCTCAGCACAAAGGATATCTGTTAGGACATGCCTTCCCCTGTGGTCTGTGGTACCAGATTAGGCTTGGGCTAAACTCAGCCAAGAAATGCATAGACTCTCAGAGCAAAGGGAAAGAGTCCTGCATGATGATTGGTCCTGATTGGGGCAGCAGCCTTGGAAAAGAGTAGAACACATCCATACATCTGTGAGGTTCAAGGTCAAGGGGCTGCAGGTAAGCAGGGCCAGCCGGCGGGTTGGGCCAGGTATCTTAGTCCAGGCCAAGGCCTTCACTCCTAGCAGAGACCCAGGGCCCAAGCAGATCCCATCATGGATGGCAATAGGCATAACTGAGGTCTCAGGAACCTTCTTGGTTCAGTAGACTCCAGGAACTAGGACTAGGGGTCCCAGAAGGGTAGGCCCTCCCTTGGCCTCAGTGGGAAAATAAACCAGCATTGTGGAGGGTGCCTACATGGGCATTGAGAGGGTTGTGGGCAACACTTTGAGGAGCTTCTACCTTCAACAAGGCACTTAGGGAACATGGTAGGGGGCGGGGTGAACCAGTCCTCAGGAGTAAGTTCTCTGTCCTGTGCTGAGAGCCCTTCAGCATGTGCATGGCCCTGCCAGAGGGAGCTTGGAAAGGTCCTCAACAAAACACGATACTATTTTAATTTTGAAAGGTGCTAGAGTTAGAAAAGATGCTCATGAGGCCTGGGCTAGGGTGAGAATCCTCACCTGCCCTCTGAAAGTTTCCAGGCTCTTTCTCTTCTCCTTGGCTCAGACCTCCATGGGACTGCTGGGAACCACATGGCTCCTGAAGTCCTGGGAGCCCAACCATTCTCCTGCTCAGGCACTTCCTAGACTGGTGGTCCAGCTTCAGGAATTTCCCCATCTCCAAGGCAGATGGCCTTGAGAAGGACACATGCAGGACCCCACCCAGAGCCGAGGCTCAACCCTGATGATAGGACAACAGGCTTAGCACAAGGCTCAAGCTCCCTCTGGCAGGTGCTGCAGCTGGGTCTGACATATGCAATGTCTGGACACCCCCCTGGGAACATGTCCGCCACCCAGCAGTGACCCCATTGCTACCTGAGGCCTGTCCCGGTGCGTGTTCACAGCTGCCACATTCAGGAATATGGACTCCACTTTACAACCTGCCAAAAGGAAGATATAAATCCATCCTCCCTCCTCAAAGGAAGCTGGAGCCACCGAGGACAGAAACTTCTCTCAAGAGGAGGCTGGGTGTGTGGAATGGAGCAGCCATCTCAGCCTCACTCTAGTCCTTCCACTTTAGGCAGCTCTGGGAAGCCCCAAGAGGAAGAACGAGACACCCTGTCAGATCCATGCTCGTCCAGGTGTGACTGCCCACACAGGGCCACATTGAGGCCCCGAGCTGCCTAACTTGGGATGGAGGGAGGTCAGGGGAACAGTAGCCCTAAGCTGTCACTTACTTTCAGTTTTCAGGGTCCCCAAACTCCCCACACCCAACTCTGCCACACAAGGCCCAATCAACCTCGGGCCAGGTGCTCACAGCAATGGGGGACAAGAGGATTATCACACATCAAAATGACATGAGCTGCCACTGAGTTTCACAGTCACTCCCCCAAGAACACCTATATGAAAAGTGAGGAGCTACAACCCTAGAGATGAGGAAGTCGCCTAAGTTCTCTATGGATACAGCAAGAGGCAAGGGTGGAACTCAAACACCAAAATATTTTAAGGTCCAGGCCCTAGGAAAAATCAGTTTTGGAAAAATCAGTAGAAAAGTGCCTCTTGCAGGTGGGTAATGGTTAAGGAAAGATCACTGGGGAGGTTTCCGGGGCCACATACTTTTTTTTTTTTACAACAAAAGCAAATTGGAAAAGGTAGTGGATACATGGGTTCTTAATGTGACTTTCAAGGAATCTGCAGAAAATCATGGACCCTGCAGAAATCCAAAGTCATGGCAACCCAGGGTCAATGTGTAGGAAGCTTCCTTACCATAAGCCACAGGGGTCAGCTTCAGGACTGTGTGCAGCGGACACTTGAGGTAGGGCAGCTGTTCTGTAGACACAGAAGGGGAGGGCTGGCATGCCAGGTATGCCCAAGTGACACTCCCCCATCTCTTTATACTCACACACAACCCCCACCTCCCCAGGGGTAAGGCCCACACCTGCCGCCTTGTCAAGGAAGTAAGCCAGGAGGCAGCGCATTACGGCTTGGTGGCAGATGACTAGCACATTCTCTTGTCTCTCCAGCTCCATGATGACAGGCTCCAGTCGCTGGACCAGGTCCTCGTAGGACTGCGAGGACAAGCACAGAAGGGGTCCCTCAGGACTGATTCTGGGGGAGGGATGGACAGATCCTGAGCAATGGGTCACTTTCCTATACTTGGAGTTTGTCACCATTCTGGGAAGTTGTGGCTAGACACCTTCCAAGTCTAACTCGTGAGGGCATAGGAGTGGGTAGCTAGCCCTACAGGGCTGCCATGGTGAGAAGGAAGCTCGGGGTGGATATGTGGACAGCTGGGCCAGGGGGTAGGGTAGGACTGAGAGAGCAGTGCTAGGCTTCAGGCTTGCAACCCAGGGGCCACCTCCATGCCTACCCATGGGTCTCTGCTATGGGATCAAAGTGTTGGCAACTATGACTGGCAGAAAAGACACTGCCCCACCCTGGAACTTCCTGGGGCATGACTCTTCAGAAACACCTGAGGTCTCTAGTAACTATTCTCAAAGTCTCCCTGCCCTGTGTCCTCCCCATCCATGTACACCTTAGAACTTTGCAGGTCCTCAGGCTAACCTCAGTCAGTAAGGGCTAGAGATTTTCACCAGCACATACTAGGCCTAAACCCTGGGGGTGTTTCATCCCTCTGTGCACAATGAGTTGTCATTTAAAAAAAAAAAAATGGCCTCAAACAGTTGGAACTGAATTTGACCCAAGCTCTAATCAGGAAACAATACAACACATTGATTTTTTTTTTTTTTTTTTTTTTTGAGTTGGAGTCTCACTCTGTTCGCCCAGACTGGAGTGCAGTGGCCGCTCCCGGCCACCACAACCTCGACCTGCTGGGCTCCGGCGATCCTTCCGCCTCAGCCTTCCAAGTAGCCAGAATTAAGGCATGTGCTACCACGCCCGGCTGATTTTTTGATTTATTGTAGAGATGAGGTCTTGCTGCCAAGGCGGGTCTCGAACCCGTGGGCTCAGGCAATCCACTCACCTCAGCCTCACAAAGGCGCGGGATTACAGGTTGAGCCACCGAGCCCGGTTGACACATTGATTTATGCTCACCCCTGGTAGTTCTGGGGAAATTCTAAATCAATACTTTTGGTAAATTTAGGCCGGGCAAGATGGTTCACCCCTATAAAGGCGGTTCACTCCTATAAACCTAGTACTTTGGGAGGCTGAGATGGAAGGATCACTTGAGGCCAGGAGTTCAAGGCCAAACTGGGCAACATAGTGAGAACTCATCTCTAAAAATAATTTTAAAAACTATTAGCCAGGCATGGTTGTAGTCCCAGTTACTAGGAGGCTGAAGTGGGAGAATCCCTTGAGATTACAGTGAGCGATGATTGTGCCACTGCACTCCAGCCTAGGTGACAGAGCAAAAAGTGAAATTCTATCTCTAAAAAAAGACAAAAAGAATTCTTTTGGTAACTTTAATTTTCCAACCAATTTTTTTCTCTGTATTTTTAAATTTGAGCAGCGAGCTGTTTTGTTTCTGTTTGCTGTTACCTAGGTTAGTTGCAATCTGAACTTGACCTCCCAGTATGTGAGGAAAAATTAATATTACTGAGAGTGATATTATCCTGAAGACAGCATAGTATAGGGGCCTGTAAGCCTGGCATCTTGGTAGGGGTTTCTAGATATGTGCATGTGAGTATACACACACATCTGTCTATGGGGGTTTATTTATTTATTTATTTAGATTTGGGGTCTCTGTCGCTTAGGTTAATTTTTTTATTATTTTATTTTATTTTATTTTTTTGAGTTGGAGTCTCACTCTGTCGCCCAGGCTGG